AGAGAAGAGACAGAGAAATCAATAAAGTGGCAAATGGGGGGGAAGGGAGGAGAGGATGGAGGAAAAAAAGAGAGCTATTTGGAAGCGACAACAAACAGCTGAGATTATGAGAATACGTGCTCTTCTCTCTCCCTCTCTCTCTTCTATCTCTCTGTCGCTCTTCTCTCTCTTTCTCTCTCTCTCTTTCTCTCTTCTCTCTGTCTCTTCTCTCTCCCTCTCTCTCCCTCTCTCTCTCTTTCCCTCTCCTCTCTCTCTTCTATCTCTCTGTCACTTTTCTCTCTCTCTTTCTCTCTCTCTCTCTCTCTGTCTCTTTATCTCTGTGTCTCTTTCTCTCTGTCTGTCTCTCTCTGTCTCTCTCTTCTTTCTCTCTCTCTGTCTCCTCTCTCTCTGTCTCTGTCTCTTTCTCTCTGTCTCTGTCTCTCTCTCCGTCTCTTTCTCTCTGTGTGTTTCTCTCTCTTCTTTCTCTCTTTCTCTTTGTCTCTCTCTCTGTCTCTCTATCTCTGTGTCTCTTTCTCTCTGTCTGTCTCTCTCTGTCTCTTTCTCTGTCTCTTTATCTCTGTTTCTCTTTCTCTGTCTGTCTCTCTCTGTCTCTCTCTTTCTGTCTCTCTGTGTCTCTCTTTTCTCTCTCTGTCTCTTCTCTCTCTCTTTCTCTCTGTCTCTCTCTTTCTCTCTCTCTTCCCTCTCTCGTCTCTCTCTGTCTCTCTTTCTCTCTCTTGTCTCTCCCATCTCTCTCTTTCTCTCTCTCTCTGTCTCTCTCTCTCTCCTCTCTCTCTCTCTGTGTCTCTCTCTCTGTCTCTCATCTCTCTCTCTCTGTCTCTCTCTCCTCTGTCTCTCTCTGTGTCTCTCTCTGTCTTTGTCTGTCTCTCTCCTCTCTCTTTCTCTCTCTCTCTGTGTGTGTGTGTGTCTGTCTGTCTGTCTCTCTCTCTCTCTCTCTCTCTCTCTCTCTCCCTCTCTCAGTGTGTGGGGGTGTGAGCATCCGCACAAACACAGGGGAGTGTGAAATTATCACAGAGACATCTCATTCAATCCTGAAATGGATACCCTTCGGAGCAGGGGTGTCAAAACTCAAGGTGCTTACGGTAGATCCAGCCCGAGGGGTGCCCCAGAGACATCAAAGGACTGGCCCGCAGTGCTTCTGCCAGCGAAAACAGCTCAATCTNGGGAGGGGGGAGGAAAAAGAGCCCCACCCCCCCAAGTCGCATCAGCCCAAACCTACTGGAGAAACCGCCAACTGGAGGATGGTCCCGTTCTTGATGTCGCCTCGAGTCTGTAGTGCACAAAGACAAAGGCGGGCTTAGCGCTGCTCCGTGCGTGTGCTGGGCTCCAGGCCTGCAAAGAGGGAGGATCGCCCGCCTACCTGTTCCGTTATGTAGAGCTGTGCTCCGTCGGCATAGCGTAGTGTGTAGTATTCAGGGTTAGGCAGGGACCATCTGCAAGGGGACCAAGGCAGGGAAAGCACTTGAGCCTCCCAGCCTGGGCCTTCCTTCACATAGGAGGGAGGTGCTGTGGCCCACCAGTGGCCAGTGGAGCTGGCAGCAGATTCGGACAGTGAGGAGGTTGGGGAGGAAGACGGGGCAGTCCTGGAGTCTGGGGAGGGCTCTGTGTCGGAGGCAGAGAGGGGGCCAGAGCCGTATGCCAGTTATCAGCTGCCTTCGGAGATCAGTGGTGCAGAAGAACAGCTGGAGCCTGTTCCCAGTGTGCACATGCGCAGAGCTGCCAGACGAAGGGAACCGTTAAAGAACAGGGGTTGACTTGGCCAGAGTAAGGCCAGACGATGAATGGCCCCTCCCAGAGGAAATAAAAGAGGAGCAAAAGGGGAGTGGAGTTTGCAGGAGACAATTCGTTTGCTTAATTCTCCTTGCCAAGTTTTGCAGATATCACCCTGGCAGCTCTCCAAGCCAGATAAGGTCTGTGACTGTAAATCCCCTCTTGAAAGACTTTGCTGGCTTTGAATGAGTAGAATTCACAGTCAATTAATAAAAGGGGTTTGGACAAGGGGTTTGCTTCATGCTCTTAGGAAGCCTCGGTTAGAACAGTACCTCATGCATGCGAGGTTCAACCCATTCCACCTCCTTCTCTTGGCCAGTGCACAGGAGGGAATCACCAAAATATCAAAAAAGGGGAGCCAATTCTTTTAGCATTCTCCATGTGGAAGAAAAAAAAAATGCCCCGAAGGCTTTTTCCAGGTCTTGAACTAAATTAAAGGTGACAGATTCCTGATTTCTTTCTCTTTTTTTTAAGAGAGACCGGTTCTTTATAATGCTGAAAGTAAGAGCTGTATTAAGGAGCGAGAGAGATTTGCGTAAAGGAGGCGTCCTGAACTATCTCCTCTACACTGGTAGTCCTTCGGTTACAACCACAACATTTCTGCTGCTAAGCAAGACAGTGACTTTTTGTCTTGTCTCGCCACCGTCGTTAAGCGAGCCACTGCAGTTGTTAAGTTAGTAATAGGGTTGATAAATGAATCAGATAATTTTAATTAAAAATTAAAAAAGAAATTAAAAGATGCTTGCTCCTGGGGAGGAAAGCAATGGCAAATCTAGCCGGCATACTAAACAGCAGAGACATCACCCTGCCAATCAAAGTGTGTATAGTCAAGGCTGTGGTTTTCCCTCTTGAAATGGATGGCTGTGAAAGCTGGACCATAAGAAAGGCTGAGCGCCAAAGAATGGAGGCTTTTGAGCTATGGTGCTGGAGGAAACTGTCGCGAGATCCTTGGACTTCAAGGCAATCCAACTGGTCAGTCCTAGAGGAGATCAACCCTGGCTGCTCTTTGGAAGGCCAGATCCTGAAGAGGAAACTCAAATCCTTTGGCCACCCAATGAGAAAGAAGGACTCCCTGGAGAAGAGCCTCTTGCTGGGAACGATGGAGGGCAAAAGAAGAAGAAGGGGACGGCAGAGAGTGAGGTGGCTGGCTGGAGGCACTGAAGCAGTTGGCCTGAGCTTAAATGGACTCCAAAGGATGGTAGAGGACAGGAAGGCCTGCAGGAATGTTGTGCATGGAGTCGCAATGGGTCGGACACGACTTCGCAACTAACCTCAAGAAGTGAATCTGGCTTCCACATTGACTTTGCTTATCAGAAGAAATCACATGATTCTGGGAGATTGCTCCCATCTTAAATATGAACCAATGGCCAAGCATCCAAATTTTGACTGTGTGGATGCTGCCATTGGTGGTGTGAAAACCAGTATTAAGTCACTTTTTTCATTGGTGCAGTAACAGTCAGAAACAAAATCTGTAAGTCAAGGACTATTTGTAGAGAGAGAATGAGAGAGAGAGAGAGAGAGAGAGAGAGAGAGAGAGAGAGAGAGAGATCAATAGATAGATATAGAGGGATAGAGAG